AACCGCAACCGAATCAGAGACGACGAAGGTAATAGACAGGGAAACAAGGATATCAAGCTAACGGCTCCTACTTTTGCAGGCAAGGTGGATCCCGATGCTTATCTAGAATGGGAAAGACGCATGGAATACATCTTTGAGTACTACGGCTACAACGATCAGAGGAGAGTGGCCTTAGCAGCGGCTCAACTCACCAACCATGCCTTGTCTTGGTGGGACCGAGATGTGGCTGAGAGGAGGAGGCATCGCTATGAACAAATCAGTACATGGGCCGCGATGAGATACAATCTCCGAAGAAGGTATGTACCACCTTATTTCCATAGAGACTTACAAAAGCGATTTAGAAAGTTGGTGCAGGGTAACAAGTCAGTTGAAGAATATTTTGAAGAGTTTGGGACCCTCCGGAACAAGCTAGAACAAGAAGATACCGAGGAGAACCTCATGGCTCAATTCCTTGATGGCCTTCATGACCGTATTGCGAGAAAGGTGGAGAGGCAACCTTACCATGACATTTCTGAGCTTCTACACTTAGCTATTCAGGCTGAGCAGCACATTAAGCGCAAAACAACGGCCACCAACCGCACCAAGCACAGCCAAGCTTGGAGCCCGCCACCGACTAAAACGTTAGACAAGGGTAAAGCGGTGGAGACCAACTCCAAATATCAGAAACCGCCAGCTGAAACGTTCAAAAGCAATCGGCCAGATGCGGGTAAGGCTACAAGCAACTCTAGATTGAGAGATATTGTTTGTTTTAAGTGTCAGGGCGAGGGCATAGGGCAAAGAACCATGATCATGACCTCAAACGGCGAGTACGAGTCTCAAGATGAACAGGACGAGGAGGACGATGTCGAGCTTGACACTGACATCGAATACCCTGATTCTGGTGAGATGCTAGTGATCAGAAGAGCCCTCAGTGCCATGGTTGAACCAGAAACCGTACAGAGAGAAAACATATTTCACACCAGGTGCACCGTGCACAACAAGGTATGTAGTTTAATCATCGATGGGGGTTCTTGTACTAACGTAGCCAGCAAGACTATGGTTGTTAAACTAGGTTTAAAGACAAGTAAGCACCCTAGGCCCTATAGACTCAGATGGCTTAACGATGAGACCGAACTAAAGATCACCGAGAAGGTTACCATTCCTTTTAGCATCGGTAAGTATAGCGATCAAGTGGAGTGTGATGTGGTGCCTATGCAAGCCGGCCATCTTCTGTTAAGAAGACCTTGGCAATTTGACAAGGAGACTCTCCACAATGGCCGAACCAACCATTACGTCTTCACTCACGATAAACGTAAGTTCACACTTGCCCCACTCACACCGGCTCAAGTCCATGAGATGCAACTTAAGTTTGCAAAGGACTCCCAGGTAAGTAAGACTAACTTATTTCTCACCTCAACTGATGTTTCTAAAGCTATAGATCACCATACACCTGTGCTACTAATGGTCTTCCGAGAGGCCCTTCTTGCAGGAACTGGTGAGTCTGAGCTACCACCTGAGGTCAGATCCTTGTTAGACAGGTTCAGCGACTTGTTCCCGGAGGAGATTCCTGCTGGGTTACCACCTCTCAGGGGAATAGAACACCAGATTGATCTAGTGCCAGGAGCTGCTCTTCCCAATAGGCCAGCATATCGCATGAACCCCACCGAGGCCAAAGAAATTGAGAAGCAGGTTCAGGACTTAATGTCTAAGGAGTATATACACGAGAGCCTCAGTCCCTGTGCTGTTCTGGTTCTTCTAGTGCCCAAGAAGGATGGGACTTGGAGAATGTGTGTGGATTGTAGGGCTATAAACAATATAACCATCAAATACCGCCACCCTATACCTCGGCTTGATGATATGTTGGACGAATTACACGGGGCCACGGTCTTCTAAAAGGTGGACCTTCGCAGTGGTTATCACCAAGTGAGGATGAAGCAGGGAGACGAGTGGAAAACCGCTTTCAAGACTAAGCATGGTCTATATGAGTGGCTCGTCATGCCCTTTGGCCTCACTAACGCGCCAAGCACTTTTATGAGGTTAATGAATCACATCTTAAGGGCCTACATTAGTAAGTTTGTAGTTGTGTATTTTGATGATATATTAATCTACAGTAAGTGTTTTGCGGACCATATTCGGCACCTTGAGCAAGTATTAGAGACTCTTCGTCAAGAAGGTCTTTATGCGAACCTCAAGAAGTGCACCTTTTGCACTGATGAGCTTGTGTTTTTAGGCTTTGTGGTAAGCTCTCAGGGATTACGAGTTGATCAAGAGAAGATAAAGGCGATTCAAGAATGGCCCACACCCACCACCATAGGACATGTTCGAAGCTTCCATGGGCTAGCAAGCTTCTATAGGCGGTTTGTTAAAGAATTTAGCACCATAGCCGCCCCTCTCACTGCTGTGATCAAGAAAGATGTGGCCTTTTCTTGGGGGCCAGCACAGGATAAAGCTTTCCAAACTCTTAAAGTTCATTTAACTAATGCACTTGTTCTAGTTTTGCCTGATTTTAACAAGACTTTTGAAATCGAATGTGATGCTTCAGGATTAGGTATTGGTGCGGTGCTGACTCAAGGTGGGCGACCCGTGGCTTATTTAAGTGAGATGCTACACGGAGCTACACTAAACTACCCTACCTATGACAAAGAATTGTATGCCCTTGTGAGATCCATGGAAACTTGGCAACACTACTTGTTAGCCAAGGAATTTGTCATTCACACCGATCATGAGACACTTAAGCATCTAAGGGGGCAAACATCACTCAAGAGGAGGCACGCGAGGTGGCTAGAGTACATTGAGACTTTTCCCTACATAATCAAGTACAAAAAGGGGAAAGAGAATATAGTAGCCGATGCACTCTCAAGGCGATATGCGCTTATCACCACAATGGAGGCCAAGGTGATGGGGTTTGAGCATATCAAGGAACAATACGAAGGAGATCCCAACTTTGGAGAGGTTTACCAAGCCAGTGCCGAAGCCGTAGTGGGATCTTTTCATCAGCACGAAGGATTCTTGTTCAGAGATAAGCGCTTGTGCATACCCCAAGGATCAATGAGGGAGCTGCTGATCCGAGAATCACATGGAGGGGGTCTCATGGGCCACTTTGGGGTAGACAAGACACTGAGCATACTTGTGGAGCATTTCTTTTGGCCCCACCTCAAGAGGGACGTCGAGAGATTCTGCTCCAAATGCGTCACTTGCATCCAAATCCAGGTCACATCCTTACGGTCTTTACACACCCTTACCTATTCCTAACCTACCTTGGGTAGATCTTTCTATGGATTTTGTTTTAGGTCTTCCGAAGATCCGAAACAAGGACTCCATATTTGTAGTGGTGGACCGGTTCTCAAAAATGGCGCATTTCATTCCATGTTCAAAGACAAATGATGCTTCCCAAACCGCTGACTTGTTCTTCAAGGAGGTGGTACGCTTACATGGGTTACCAAGGTCTATAGTATTTGATCGTGATACCAAGTTTTTAAGCCACTTTTGGAGGACATTGTGGAGAAAGCTCGGGACCAAGCTACTCTTCTCAACGACTTGCCACCCTCAGACGGATGGGCAAACTGAGGTCGTCAATCGAACTCTCTCCACCCTCTTAAGGGCCACGGTTGGTAAAAACTTAAAGAACTGGTTAGAGTGTCTTCCCTTTATTGAGTTCTCTTATAACCGTGCTACTCACTCTGCTACCAAGTTTTGTCCATTTGAAGTTGCATATGGCTTTAAGCCACTCACTCCCCTAGATCTTTCACCACTACCACCACTAGAGTATGCTAATCAAGATGGAGAAAGCAAAGCCGAGACAGTTCGGAAGCTGCATCAAAAGGTCAAAGAAAACATTGAGAAGAAGACTGAACAATACAAGAAACAAGCAGATAAGGGACGCAAAGAACTCACCTTCAAGCCGAGAGATTGGGTTTGGCTTCACATGCGTCCGGAGAGGTTCCCTAACCAACGCAAATCCAAGCTTTCACCGCGAGGAGATGGACCATTCAAAGTCCTCGAGCGTATCAACAACAATGCTTACCGACTAGAGTTACCAGGTGAGTTTAATATCTCTTCTAGTTTCAACATATCTAACTTAGCTCCTTTCCACGCAGATGAACAAGTTCTGAGGTCAGAACCTTCTCAAGCGGGAGGGAATGATGAGGACACTAGTTCGGAGCAACCCCAAGACTTGAAGATTCCTACCATGTATGAGCCACCAAGGACTAGATCAGGCACGAGAAACATGAGGGAAGGGTTCAATGTAGCTGTGGAGGCTCTAATGATGCAAGAAGGACATAAAGAACTCACTAAGACGATGGAGCAACTCAAGATTACAAGCCAAGAAGAATATGCCGTGGACGTGAAGGCACCAAGCCCAAGTCTAGACGAGGAAACGTGGCCGCTGATAAAGACCCACCTTGGCCCAACATTGCTCGTCATTTCTCAAGTTCAAGACAAAGACAACCCGTCTTCGAACCACCTCTAAAGCAATGTGAGTCTTTAAATTTGAATTCATTAACAAAGTTTCCTTTTCTTGTTTTGCAGGTTTTATCGTTAGGTCCTTTTAGTTATTTTTCCTTTTTAGATTGTTCTTAGGGTTATCGAATTGTTCTCTTTACTTTTCACAGAGTCTGTTGCGTTTTGAGCTTTCCTTTTTTTGATTTGCTGACCCTAGAAGGTCATAGCTGACGGACTATTTATAAAGTCCCATATGCAGCTTTGTAGTCTCACGTTTTTACCTATTATCAATAAAAAGAGTATTTTCTTCTTTAGCAAAACCCTAGAGCGACAAAGACTCGTGCGGCTGCCCCTTGTCCTTTGTGTTCTTCCGACTTATCAAAGCTAAATCATAAGCTTTGTGGCGTCCTTCGATCCACCGGTTACTATTGTCCCGAGTTCGTTCATCGGATTTAAACAAAGAGAGCCGGCCAATTGTTTAAGTCGCCATCTTTCTCTCACTTCATTCATCTCTTGTCCGAGTAGAGAGAGCCTTGAGGCCAGCTACAAGGATCCAACTCACACTACACCCGATCTTATATCAATAGTTGTTAACTTTTAACGTAAAACGTTGTAATAGCTTTGAAGCAAAGAAGAATTTAATACAAGCAGAAGAGAATCAGTATGTAACAGGAATATAAACTTGAGCAGGTTTTTAGTTGCTACAAGCCGTACTGAGAGATCTAGAGAGACTGTGAATCACATCAGGACAATATGAGACGAAGTATCTCACCAGAATACTTGAACGATTTCTCGGTCTCTTCCAAACAATGATTCTTTTCTTCTCTTGTCCATTCCTCGGCAACTTTGTTCAGTTTTTCCCTCACGTTCTGCAACAATTGGGAAAGTTCTCCGTCCCATTTGTAGAACTCAAGTTCTTTATTGTCAAGTATTCTCTCTGCTACCTGCAAATTTTTTCAAGCTTCAGAAGAAGTCTCAGCTTACTTCACAAACGAGTTTAGTGCAGAATGATTTTACCTTTCTTCCAATCATTCGGCCACCGGCGCTGTGGGCAAAGTAGATGTTGTAGAAGTGACAAATGAATGCTTGAGGATCCTTCTCTGCTAAATCCTTTAAATACTGAGAATATGTTTTACCAGGAGCAGTTGGTTCTGGAATCTCGTAACCTTGTTCCTTGAACCACTCCAAATCAATGGCCAATTTCTCCGCCCTTTCCAATCCCGTGTTCTTGAATTCGGCATCTACAGAAAACACAGTAAGCAGAAGGTTACATATGAAAAAAGACCTAATTTTTTGCAGAAACCATTCTGTTTCTATTACAGAAGCAACAATCGTCTCCAATTCATAAACCATCACTATAACCAATCGATGTATATATAACCAATCCCTGAAGAGATCTCAAAGCATTCATACAAAAACATCAATATAACCAAATCGATCCACGAGTAAAAGAAAACTAAGATGCCAAAAAAGCGTGAACGAATCAAATACAAAACAAGATAAGAAATAGGGAAATGGGAATCATCTTATCATTGGGTAGATACTAAGATCCAAAGCATTTCGAAAGTAAAGAAGTATTCTCCAAATCACTTCCACAATCAACACAAATCATTAAACTAACTTTAGAATATTTCAATTCAAAGAAAAAAGGAAAGATGAAGAAAAAAAAACTCACAACTTGGGAGAGTGGCTTCGTTAAGTATCCCTTCAAGCGTGTCATAAACCAATTTGCTATCAACTAAAAACCTCAAGTAACCTTCAACAGTCGGTTCCCATTTCGCCACAGGGCGTTCTTCAGGAGATTTGGTCTCTTTCTCTCCTTCTTTGGCCTGCTCTTTCGTGTGAAGTCTCATCGCCACGAACCTCATCTCCTCCACAAACCCTTTTGATTCTCCTGGATACCTCTTTTTCTGCTTTTCTGCCGCCGTCGTGGCCGCAACCACCACCGAAGATGACGACCGCTTGTTCATGGGCATCCTTAGATTCTGAATCCTAGGGCGAGAGAAAAGTGGGTTCGGTGGGGAAAAAGCGAATTGGATTCTGGTGAGTAGGGGGTTTTTGAAGATTGATAAGGATGGGGAAATCGGAGCTAAATAAGCCATAGTTGATCGGAGAAAGTCAGAACTATGGTTTTTAGAAGGAGGCACGCAATGTAATTGTAGTTGCCTTGAAGGAATAGAGAAGAGAGAGGGACACACAATTCTAATTGAATTTTAAAATAAGGAATAATATTTCAGTAGCAAGCACAATAAAAACAGTACAAAAAGAAATTAGCATGGTTTCACCCGCCGCACAGATTTCTAAACGAAGAGGATAACCATGAAAAGTAAATAAACTTTGTGACGTTTAAAATTAGAGAAAACAACGTATGTATTTCCTCTGACCTTTCAAATTATAGATTCACACGAAATTTTGATTTGGCCATATATTTCCTTTTTATGAAGGTTGTAAATTTTTTTTTTTCAAATTCAAAAATTCGGTATATATATATGTAGTCATAATTGTTGATTTGATTGGTTTGTAAGTTTAACCATTTATACAACCGCATTTACCGATTTCAGACCATATTTTAAAATCCAACTAAACAAAAAACCAATTTATAACCCGACTGTATTTTACCGATTCTTTTTTCAACTTTAAAATTAAAATCAACCATTAATATATATAAGAGAAAGATTTTACTCTCTTCCTATTTGATTATTTGGCGATTCTATTTTTTAATAAAATTGTACCTTTTTATTATTGTAAATTTTATTGTATTGTTTGAATGGTGTTTTTATTTTCATCAAAACTACAAATTAAGCACAAATTACTATGAATTCATATAATAATAATAATAATTAAATCTCATTATGTGAAGAATTAACAAGTAACATATGTCTTCAGAATTTGATTGACCTACCTTTCAGTCAAATGTTATAATGCCGAGAAATTACTATTATAAATATAAATATGAAATAAATAAATAAAAATGCTCATTCTCCAAATGAGCCATATTTACTATAAATATAATTATAGTTTTCTGTAATGTCACACTCAAATCTATGCTATATATATATATATATATATATTTATATATTTTTTTTTTTAAAACAGTCAAACAACTAGCTATTTTACCATGTTTTAGCATGCATTTCATATAGATTCTAAGTTTGTTTCATAAGTATTTCATGGTTTTCTCATTGTTTTGTTCATTTTGAGTCTAGATAGGATTTTCCATTAGGTCCAAGTGAGTCTTGCATGTTTGGAGTGTTATTTAGATACCTTGGAGATGTTTGAGAGTGGAGAAAATAGTGAAAAGATAGAGGTTGGAGCAACATGAGTATCGGCCATTTCTATGTATCGCGTGGCGGTTTTCTCGGCCAAACTCATGTACAGCAGGCAAGAAACCTCGGCCAAAACGACAAAATGTTTGGAGTGCTGATATGCCTTTAAATTGCCCAGGATGAAAGACTTCCACTCCGACTTAGCCTCCTGTGTCTTCATCAAGAATGTTGAGGAGCCAGTCATATTTCCATAACACTTGGGATCAACCTATTTGGAGATGTGAGCTAAAAGATATAACCGTTGTATCGGACTAATCCGATGCGCCTCAAAAAGCTACTGTACCGGAAGTCTTGCTCTCTCTGGATGTATTTGGACTCTTTTTAAAAGTTGTAGCTTATTGAGTCATCTGTCTCTTGGAGCTGGAAAATCGAGTACCGGATCACTGGCTTGGAAGTTATGCAAGCTCAAGTGCACACATGTCTTTTCAGGTTCAGCTTGTTCTTTGGAGTAGATATTTGCTAAGTGTTGAGGACTGCCACGACTTGTTGGCACGACCTAATCTTCTCGTGGCACCAGAGGCCCTGCACATACGGTGGAAGCCACAACTTGTCGCCATGGCTTGATCATGTCGTTGCCAGCACTTTCAAAAATCATTAAAACATTCGGTGAAGGCCACGACAAGATGCCTCGGCTGAAGAAAGCTTAAGAACAACCTGTGGCAATGCATGTTCTTCATTGAAAAAACACAGATTTTTCTGCCATGGGTTGAGGCCAAGACTTGGAGAGAGTGAAGACAACTCGTGGCTAGGCATCAAGACCCAAAAGGCCGGGTCAGGACCCAGTTTGTTCCGGACTGACCCGGTTCAAGAGGCTCCACTATATATATGTTTTTGGCTAAAAACCCTATACATCATTAATTTCATTTTAAGTCTTTGCCTCTTTTGTTAAAAACATCATACTTTCTAAGAGATATCTTGAGTTTGATCAGATTTGACAGTATTTCTTATCATCTTATCATCTTTTCTTCTCATCTAAACTTCTAATCATGCTTAACTACTCATCTTGCAAAGGATTAAGTGAGTTAAGTATGATTAGTGAGTAGTCTTTTTATTAGGGTTCTAGATATGTAGACTAGGATGCTTAGGTGTTAGATTAAGGTGTTTAGGGACTAGATTTATGCTTTCATTTCTCTGAATAGCTATGCTTAAAGCTAGATTTTTGATAATCACTCTGGTCTAGAACTTAGGCATTTCTCCACCCACAAGGTGTTTGATGAAATGATTGAACAAGCTATTACAGAGGTCTATTGCTTTGATCAAATGAGAATACTTGTTTGAACAATATATGACATTTTAAGGCTGTTTCGTAATGCTTTATTATCATTATGTCACTAATGAGAATTGGGTTTGAGTAATGATTTGAAATGTGATCTTTGTCTTGAGAAAGAGCTGATCTTGTTTAAGAGTCTTAAGTTAATTGGAATCATTCATTGTTTGTCATTAGCACCTTAGTTTAGCATCAAAGGCACCCTGATCTACTATCATGTCTAGAGCCCTAAGATTTTATCATCTTTGAATCATTATCATCATTTGTCTTTGTCTTGTTTAGCTGTTTTACTTTAGTTAATCATCACTTGTTTGGTTGTTTATTTTGCATTAATAACTTGTTACCAAACTCATCATTTTAAACTTGGATTAAGCTGGTATTCATATAGATTAGTGTCTAGATCATGCACATATGGATTGGACCTCAAGTACGGAACTACTAGGGGCATTGAACCTGACAAAGAAAAAGAAATCTCTTGTTTCAACTCACTTAATGAGAGGTAAAATGTTACTGTTGTTCCTCTTCTTTTTATTTATTTATTATTATCTGCAATTTCAGATGCACATAAGTGCAAATAAACATTCAAATCTCATGAAACAAAAAAAAGTCCCCAACATAAACTACTTGATGTGATTGAGAAGCTAAAGAGTCTTTACCCAAATTACAAATACCCAAAGAGGTAAGCAAGCAACAACACACCTCTCTCTCTCTCTCTCTCTCTGCTCACAGTTTGAAGGACAGCCCTGAAATCCGATCGAAGTTCTACTTATGCAATGTCACACTTGTGGATTCGGTTGAAAGCTACTGAAAAGATTGGGAAGAAGAGGAAAAGAGACTTCTGGTCATGTTCCTGGCTCCATGTGTTAAGTGTTTTAATCTGCATACACGTTTTATCCTCTTTAGTCAATAATAAGAGTTGTGAACATGATTTCTAAAATTATAAACTGTTTGAATTATGAATGTTTATCTACTGATAATATAATCTTCATGTGATTAACTGTTTATTTCAGATATACAAAAGTCCAAGGAGAACCAAAATCACTCCATCCAAACTATTATCTTTTGTTTTTTTATTTGCTACTCTTGATGTGATCTGCGAAAAATTTCGAGATTCTACTCTCGAATATCACTGAAAAAAATAACTATTTGGTTATCATTGGGACTAATCCAAAAATCAGATGGTTATCAAATATGTTATCAAGAAGTTCATCACCACTATGAATGAAGTCACCACTGACTATGACTTTTAGTTATTTAGTTAAGGTCATAACTTAAAACCAAACAAAAACACAAAAAACTTCCTTTTTTTTTTTGTTAACTAATGTTATATTACATTTTCGTAATGAAAAACACATTACAAAGACCAAGCCTCCACAAACCAAAAAATTATCGAGGACTTCGGAAGTATCGACTAACTATCTGTGTCAAAACATAGCCATACACGATTATGACTATCAACACACAACCAAAAACAGAGAATGTGAAGCATTAGATGGAGGTTACTATTGGCTGGTATCAAATTTGAGAAGCATTAAATAGCCAAAACATTAGTTCTTTAAACCCAAAAATTAGATGGTATCAAATATGTTATCAAAAAGTTCATCACCACCACTATGAATAAAGTCACCAGACTATGACTTTTATTTATTTAGCTATATAAGGTCATAATTTAAAAATAAAACAAAAACATTTTTTTTTTTGTTAACTGATGTTATATTACATATTCGTACTAAAAACACATTACAAAGACCAAGCTTCTACAAAACAAAAAATTATCGACGACTTTTGAACTATCCACTAACCATCTGTGTCAAAACATATCCAAACACAATTATGACTATCAACACATAGCCAAAAAAAAGAGAATGTGAAGCACTAGATGGAGTTACTTATTGGCTGGTATCAAAATGGAGAAGTATTAAATAGCCAAAAGAATAGTTCCTTATTGGCTGGTATCAAAATGGAGAAGTATTAAATAGCCAAAAGAATAGTTCCTTATTGGCTGGTAAAAGGAGCAACATAATAAGAACAAAATAAAATGAATTTGTGCTGTGAATAATGTAACTACTTTGAGAGATTATAGGAGATTTAAAATGTGATTGGTAGAAATCTTGGTTTGAATAACTGTATCTACAGCCCTTAGAAATCGATTAACTAAATCATGACAACCTTTATTATTACATAGTACATACTAAGTGTAAGTAAGTTATCCTCGTTGATTTTGTAGAAGGGTTATTTATATGAACATATTTCATATGCAATTTCCAATATAGTTATTTTATTGCTATTGAATTTAACAAAAAAGTTGAGTGTGAGTTACTTTAGCGTCATATTGAGATTAATTAAATAATTTTTTTTGACAACAATAGAGTTTTAGTAATTGTAGATTAGATAACAAAAATTTTGAATTCTGAAAAAAAGACTCAACGACATGAGATTTTTGTAGTTTTTAGCTTCAGTCACATTCCATAAGTTTTGGAGAAAGATCACGACTACTTTTTAGTTCAATAAGTTTTACAAATTGAAGGATTTTTAGTAGAAAAAAAAGAAAAAAAATGCGAATGAGAATTACAAATTTATTTTTTGTAAAATTTTTTTACACAAATTGAATATAAACA